AGGGCACGGGCCACCAGAGGTCCGTGGGAGAGCGTTCGCGGCAGAGCAAGCCCTCAGAGCCGAAACCTTCAAACGGCACAGATGCGCCCTCCAGAGAAGGGACACCGGCGGAGGCGCCACGTGGCAGCGTCACGACGAGGGCCACAGACACGAGGCCGAGCTGCGGAAGTCAGGGCCTGTGCCTCCGTTTCCGTGAGCCAGGCATAGCTCGGCCCCGGTGACGGCAGGCGGGATGGCGGTCCCCGGAGACGGGTGTTGACCAGGGGGCCGTGAGAGCTCATCAGGCACAGCGCTTAAGAAGGATGAGGTTTGCTGCATGCATTCCTGCCAGAGTCAAAGCAAAAAACCACCACGGTGGTGGGGAAGGTGTAGCAGGTGTAGCAGTGTAGCAGGTGTAGCAGTCTCACGCTGGTGGAGACCCCGGATTCGTTCTCTCTAGAAGAACCCTCCCCCCCCACCACCCGATTGCTTCGTTGTAGCGAGACTCTAGATCTGTTCGCTGTAGTGGAGATTGCAGATCCGCTCGTTGTAGCAGAAACCTCCATTAGTTCACTCTATAGGAGACCCCGGATTCGTTCGCGGTAGCGGAGAACCCGGATTCGTTCTCTGTAGCGGAGATCCCGGATCCGTTCGCGGTAGTAGAGCTCGGGGATCCATTTGCTGTAACGGAGACCCCGGATACATTTGCTCTAGTAGACACCCCCCTCCCCCACCCGATTGCTTCGTTGTAGCGGAGACCCTAGATCTGTTCGCTGTAGTGGAGATTGCAGATCCGTTCGTTGTAGCAGGAACCTCGATTAGTTCACTCTATAGGAGACCCCGGATACATTCGCATTAGCGGAGAACCCGGATTCGCTCGCGGTAGCGGAGATCCCAGATCCATTTGCTGTAACAGAGACCCCGGATACGTTCGCTCTAGTAGACACCGCCCTCCCCCACCCAATTGCTTCGTTGTAGCAGAGACACTAGATCTGTTCACTGTAGTGGAGATTGCAGATCCGTTCATTGTAGCAGAAACCTCCGATTAGTTCACTCTATAGGAGACCCCGGATCCGTGCGCGGTAGTGGAGACCCCGGATTCGTTCTCTGTAGCGGAGACCCCGGATTCGCTCGCAGTAGCGGAGACCGCGGGTTGTTTGCACCCTAGCACAAAACCTAGCTCTGAGCTCCCTGACAGCCAAGACAAAGAGAGAAAGCCACGAAGGACACCTCGCTCATCGCGGGGAGTTCCCGCAGCTCTGAGGGGGACGCACCATAGGGGCGTGTCCTCTGTGGGCGGCGACGGGTGGATTTGCGCCCCGAAGCGCTTGGCGGCGGGAGGCCCCCGCGACCGCAGGCCGCATCCCCTCCGCCTCGTGTGCCCCCACAGGGTACCGGAAGCTGCTGAAGGACATGGAGGAGGGCCTGGTCACGTCCGGGGACTCGTTCTACGTCCGGCTGAACCTGAACATCTCCAGCCAGCTGGACGCCTGCACCATGTCGCTCAAGTGCGACGACATCGTGCACGTCCGGGACACCATGTACCAGGACAGGCACGAGTGGCTGTGCGCGAGGGTCGACCCTTTCACGGACCATGACCTCGACGTGGGCACCATACCCAGCTACAGCCGGTGAGGCCCGGGCCGGCGCCAGGGCGGGGGGCTACTGCCCAGCAGAGGGGCCCCCAGGGGGACTCCGCCTGTGGCCACTGAGGCCCGCCTGTTTCCTCCTCCTCCTGGAAGCCTCCCCTGCCTCCCCAGGGATGTTGCTCCCTTAAACCCTGTTGCTTCCCTAATGCCCGGGGCACCTCTCCCAGTCATCTGTAGAAAACCGGGCTCTCGGTTTTACGCCCCTTTGCTGCTCACTGCTTGTCCGCGGGCCACCTCCCTGACGTCCTTCCGTAATCACGTAGCAGTGGGGCGTCAGCCTTCCTCTGGCTAGGCTCACAGGCTTCCGGGAAGCGCGTTCCGCTCAGGCCGGCCCCGTGAGGTCAGCATCAGCAGCCCGGGTCTACAGATGAGGAAACCGAGGCTCAGGGGAGTGACTTTGCCACAGCCAGCACTGGCTGCAAGATTCGAGACCAGCGGCCGGGTTTCGTGCCCTCCCTGGGGGAGCACCCCCTCCTCCGCCCCCGACCCTGCTGGGAGGCACAGGGGCAGGCTGGCACCGGCTTCCCCAGGCCCTGCCCTGAGGGTCTGCCCTCCCCTCCCGTCTCCCCAGAGCCCAGCAGCTCCTCCTGGTCAAGCTGCAGCGCCTGATGCACAGGGGCAGCCGAGAGGAGGCGGACCCCACGCACCACACCCTGAGGGCGCTCCGGGTAGGCACCCCACAGCCCTGCCAGCCTCGCACCAGCCCCCAGGCTCGTTTCCGGATGGCTCACGAATGGTAGCCGCTGATGTCATCAGGGACTTGGTTCCTCGGGAATGGGACGGTCCCCCCAGAAGGGGCCCCGCCCTCAGGGCCCCCCCCCCCCCACGCGGGGTGGCAGGACAGCGTTTCCTCTGTGTCTCTGGCCTCTGCCGGAACAAGTCTCGGGGCTCCTCTTACCCTCCAAGCTCGTTCCCCGTCTGGAATGCTTCGATTCCACGTCTGGCACAGAGGGGGCTTGAGGACGTGTCTCTGGTTCTCGGCAGCCTTCCTGGGCTCACGCGTCCTGCCGAGCCCAGCGCATCTGACCGATTGATACCTGATTTCAGAACACCCTGCAGCCTGAAGAGCCGGTTTCCACCAGTGACCCCCGGGTCAGTCCCCGCCTCTCTCGGGCAAGTTTCCTTTTCGGCCAGCTCCTCCAGGTAAAGTTGTCCAGAGCGCCGACTGACTTTGCGGTCACGTTTTGCCGGGGCTCCCCCCTGCCGCTGCTGGGAAGAGAAGACTCTTTCAGAATATCAGTGCTTGGTGTTTGTGCACCACTTGCAACTTTTCACAGCACCTCCCACCTCCCGTCCCGTTTGATCCTCACGGTGACAGGTCGGGAGACAGTCTGTACACCTGTTGGAAGCAGTCCCACTTTCGTAAAAGACTTGAAGACCTATGGCTAAAAGAGTTTAAACAAGTTAGCTATTAGAAAAAAAATCAGAAACGGCGTATCAGGAGAAGAAAAACGTCGCAAGTGTCCGGGTCAGTGTAGTCCCTCAGACTGAGCGTTAAACGTATCTCTTAGCATCCTGGCAGCCGAGGAGAAAAGAGAAAGCGTACAGATTCTTTAAATCTTATCTGACCACGGACACATCGTAGCTCTTTGGGACCAGAAAAAATTTATCGCGTGTACTTAATTCTATAATGAGTTATTTTATTTTGCATGAACTGTTATGTAAGGAACACTGATTAGCCTAGTAGGTGCTGTCTTCGGAAGAAATTTCACATAAATGCAGTAAGCATTCTGTGCAGAGCTAAGTGAGTCACGTTAAGATGCGGTCCCTCAAGGACGTTTCTGTGTTGGTACTTTGCTAATCGGGCCCCTGTGGAGTTGGTGTGCCACACTCCACTGAGCCATCCTGCTGTTGGGACATAGGAAACCCAGAGGAGTGGTTCACGGCATGGCCCAGAAACCAGGTAGACGCAGACAGGTGCTAGAAAGATACGGAGGTGGAAGGGAACCCTAGCGAATCTGAGCTCCTCCTGAAGGCAGGGCCACGCGGGAACACACATTACCGCCTTCGTGTCACGCGAGACTTGGCAACCTTGAGCGTCTCCGGGTGGCTCACCCAAGGACCAGTTGACCACAGAGCCAGGCCGAGACCTCGGCTCCCTGGATTTTCCTCCCTACAGAAGGAGGGTGTGGAGAGACTCAGAGTAGCCCAGGGAATGTGGTGGGAACTCGGATTCTGTGTCCACCACTGGGGCATCCCTTTCCACCCTCCAGGGCTCAACTCTGAGTTGTACTGGGAGAACTGGGGGATACCAAGGGAGGGGTTGTAGAGAGCCGTGTCGTGGGAGGTGGAGCCATCCTGCACAGGCCCCCCAGGCGGGCGGTCTGTGGGCCATCCTGCCAGCGGGGCTCCTTGCCAGGGACCTCCCCTCCCACGGCTCCCCAAAAGGCACTGGGGATTGCCAGAGGGTCTCTGGCACCCCAGCCCTCGGCAGGCTTCGTGCCTGGTTAGGGAGGAGGGAGTGGGCATCTGTTCATTTGCTCGCCTACAATGATGTCCCCTCTCGGCCTGCTGGACCTCTCCCATTTTTACAGGGGGAGGTGACTGACCCTGGCCCCCAGGAGCAGAGCTGGGGTCCAAGCAGAGGTCTGCCTGTGCCCGGGTTGAGGCAGCTTGGTCTGGTTAGAAGCAAAGGCCCCACCCTCTGTCCTCCAGTTCGTCAGCAGGTCCGAGAACAAGTACAAAAGGATGAACAGCAACGAGCGGGTCCGCATCGTCTCGGGGAGCCCGCTGGGGAGCCTGGCCCGGTCATCGCTGGATGCCAGCAGGCCCTCGACCGAGAAGCAGGAAGGTATGGCGCTGACCGCCTCGCCCCTCCCAACTCCTGCTGGCCTGGCGGCTGCGGGAGTCCCAACAAGGCCCTTGGGTCCCCGCAAGGGGGGCTGGGACACCTGCTCCCTCCAAAGAGGGGGTTCCCCCATGGGGGGAGCCTCCAGGGGACCTGCCTGGCCTTGGTGGGAGGAGCGCACGGCCTCCCAGAGTGGCGTCCCGCCAGGCTCACCCCTGATGCGTGCTCGCTGCAGTCGGTCTGAGCCCAGATGCCCGTGTTAATTGGAGCTGTTTGCTGGGAAGCGTTCGCCTATTGATTTCTTTCCCCGCTGCCTGTTTCTTGCCATTTATCAAGCCGGCCAGGGGTCACCGGCCGCACAGCGCCCTGCAGAAGGGTGTGCCGATGGCCGGTCAGGCCTCCTGCTGTCCTCGGGGGCCGGGCTGGCCCGGGCACCGATGGTCAGAGGGCCTGGGCTCCCCTCCAGACCGGCCCTTCGGAAGGCCGGGGAAGGGCACCAAGTGAAACACAAGACGCCGGTTTCTGGCAAGGCGGTTGCTCGAGCTGCCCGGGGCTGGCTCCGCTCTGCTCCCCACACACCAGCCAGAGAGGCTTGAAAAGGTGGAAAGGAGGCCGTGTCTCCCCCTGCCTCCGACGCTGCTGGCATCCCAGAGCTCCTGACATAAGCCCCAAGCCCCTCTCAGCCGGCCCCGCCCCCCACCTGCCGAATACAAGCACCAGGCTGCAGGGCCGTCGCCTCAGCTCCCAGAACAGGGCCTGGCCCGTGGGTCACATAGACCTTCCTGCCGGCCAGCGGGCTCCGTGGGGCCGGGAAGCCTCCCGGGACGGTGGGCGGGCAGGGCGTCCCAGCCGGCCCTTTCCTGTCCCCTCCCAGAGCCGGACCCCGAGAGCGAGCTCGGCAAGAACCTCAGCCTGATCCCCTACAGCCTGGTGCGCGCCTTCTACTGCGAGCGCCGCCGGCCCGTCCTCTTCACGCCCACCGTGCTGGCCAAGGCGCTGGTCCAGAAACTGCTCAACTCCGGAGGCGCCTTGGAGCTCACCATGTGCAAGCCGGGTGAGTGCGGGCCGGGACCGTCCTCGTGTCCCCCCTCCTGCGTCCCACCAGGCGTGGCAGCAGAGCCTGTGGACCTGCTGTGCCCGGCCGGCGGGGCGGGTCTCGGGCCCGGGGGCCACGCCGGCCCTCTCGGAGCGCCCTGTGGCCCCAGAGCAGGGGAAGCAGGCCTTCACTTCCCCTTTCACGCTGAGGGTTCAGGGCGGAGGTCACAGAGCGTGTCAGGAGACGTGACTTGGGGTCCCCGCTCTGAGCCCTGAGGTTAAGAGGCAGGCCGCCCATCGCTAGGGCTTCCGTGTCCTGGGTGTGGCTGGGGGACCACGGTCAGATGCCCTGCACACGGCGCTGAGCCCCAGTCCTGGCTGCGAGCTGGAATCGTCCTCAGCACTGTCCGTGTTGAAACCACGGACGTCCAGGGCCACCCCGCACCAGCCAGCCGTCAGGTGCCCGGCGGGGTTTAGTTATGCCGAGATACACGTAACAAGGAATGTGCCACGTGGACCGTGTTAAGTGTCCGGTTCAGGGGTAGTAGGTACGTCTATCTCCAGAACTTTCTCTTCTTCCCGAGCCGAAGCTCCACCCCCACCCCAGGGCCCACCGCTGTCTGTCTCTCTCTGTGAGTCTGTCTCCTCCGGGGAGTCGTATAGTATCTGTCCTTTTGCCCCCGGCTCATGTCGCTCAGCATCACGTCCTCGAGGTCCACGCGTGTGGTAGCAGGTGCCAGCCCAGTTATGACCCACGCCATCCCACGGTGTGGATGTGCCACATAGTGTTTCTCCGTCACCCATCCGTGGACACGTGGGTCGCTCCCGCCTCTCGGCTGTTGTGAATCCTGTTTGTGAACGTGGGCGAGTGAGCATCTCTTCAGGCCCCTGTCTCCGGCTCTTGGGGGGCTGGACCCGGAAGCGGGATGGCTGGCTCCCGTGGCGATTCCACATTTTTTGTTCCGTTCCGTTTGAACTTGAAGCTGCCACCCTCGTGTGGCCAGCAGCTGTCACCTCACGTTCCCACGAGCACATGCCAGGGTCCCAGCTTCTCCCCCCACCTCACCAACGCTTGCTTTCTTTACTGTCAGCCTAGGGGAGGTGAGGGAGGGGCGTCGAGACCAGAAGTCCGTCCTCCGAGGATCAGTATACACGTAACAACACGCCCCCGTTTTAAGCGTGCAGTGTTGCAAATGCCTGCACCCCGTGACCCCAGCCACAGCCAGGAGACGGAGCGTTGCATCCCCTCAACAGGCTCCCTCGGGCCCCCCTCCAACCCTTGCCCCAGGCACTGTTCATCTCCTTCCTGTCACACATTGGTTTTCATTTTCTAGACTTTTCTGTAAATGGAACCATGCCATGTGGAACCATTTGCATCTGGCTCCCTTCACCCCACATCATGTTCTAGAACTTGTGGTGTTGTTCCCGCTGCCGAGCTGCGGTCCTGCGGGCAGAGCAGCCTTACCCGTCGGGAGTCCGTGGTGCAGAGCCCCTCCCCCACCCGGAGGTTCTCATATGGGCCCCGGGGCTGGAAACACGTGGTACTGAGCGCTCAGAACAGCCCCGGGTGGGGGTGCGGACTCTGTAAGCATCAGTCAGCACCAGTGTCGGGGTGAGATGCACCTGAGCAGGAGCAGAACGCCCCTCATTCCTGGGGGGGTAGCTCTGCATGCAGTCTTTCACTGGATGTTGGCAGTGATGCCCCCCCCAGGTCTCCCGGGATGCCTGGCCCTGTGGGAAGTGGGAGACGGCACCCCCAGTGTCCGGCCTCCCATGGTGCAAACCCTCTACAGACCCCGGCCAGGAGGGCCTCCGCGCACAGTGTGGCTGGTGGGAGAGGTGGTGTTCTTGGAGGCGAGTGGTCTCCAGCTGAGGTTGTGCCCCACCCCCCCACCGCGGCTACTGACCTGGGACAGGTCACCCACCTCTCTGTCCCTCACCTGCAAAACCAGCATAATGGCGGCCACTTGTGGTGGAAGCAAGAGGCTCGCAGATGGGCAGAGGTCAAGCCCAGCATGGGCCCCGGGTTCTCAGCCCCCCATGTGGAGCAGGCAGGACACAGACATGGGTCCCTCACCTCTCTGAGCTCCAGCTCCTGCAGCCACCGCGGTAACTACCTCCTTTCTCAGTACGGTCTGAGGTTTGGCAGAGCCTCGTTTGCAAATCCCACTCAGCTGCTCTGAACTCTGCAGACATGCCCCGTGTTGCCCTTGGTGCTTTCACAGCCAGGGCGCTGCAGGTGCTGTAGGGCGGGGGTTCTAGGCTGCCTCCGTCCCCCCAAATCACCCACAGACCTGTAGCACTTCCCCTGCTGGCTCTTCCCCGGATCCCTTCCAACTCCCTTGTGGTACATCCTGGAGTGTACATGCTAAACCTGGCCTAGTGTGGGCTCCCCGGCCAGCCTGGGCTTACGCAGGGAATTCTAGGCCTGGGCTGACCCCACTCTCCTTTCGTAAATGGAGAACCTGAGGTCAAGAGATTGAAGATATGTTCAGGGTCACCCAGCAAGTGAATGAGGTCTCTGGTACATACCTCCTCCTCCAGGGAGCCTGCCTGCTCTCCTCTCCCCTCCATTCCTCCTCACTGCTGCCACAATAAGTACCCATCACTGCACCTGCTAAATTGTTGCATAATTTTTGTATCCCACATTCTTCTTACTACATAGGTCACACGTTCTCAAGTACAACAACAACTATGTTTTTGTCATATTTTTATTCTAAAGTCTGGCCCTTAGTAGATTTTCAGTAAATACTAAATTTCAATAAAAATTAACTTGATGGGTGGATGGATGGAGGGATGGGGGTGGAGCAATGGATGAATGAACAGATGGGTAGGTGGAGGGATGGACAGGTAGATGAATAGATGGTTGGGTGGATAGATAGGTGCATGGATGGATAAGTAGATGGTTGGTTGAATGGGTGGATGGATGGTTGGGTGGATAGGTAGATGGATGGATAAATGGATGGATGGGTGAATGGATAGATGGGTAGATGAATGGGAGGGGGGATGGATGGATGGATGGATGGATGGATGGATGGATGGATGGATGGATGGATGGATGGATGGTTAT